AGCGTACACCCATGGGCAAATAGGGGACGCTAAATTGACCAATCAGAGCGCGCACTTTACTCTGGTTATGTTATAATCACTGTTTCAGCCAGCAGAAGGCAAGTAATATAGAAACTTTATTTTTCTATCAACTTATCTACCTTTTATCATTGGCCGATTCAGGTGTTTTTAGGCCTCCCTTTAGTTTTGAAATGAAATTGCCTCATCTGAGTTTCTGAAGACTTCACAGAAGACTGAGGGAAAAATCCTTTAAACGGTACACACACACACACACACACACACACACACGCACACACACACATGCACACACACACACACATAAATAATAAATAAATGAATGAATAAATACATAAATAAATGAACTCTTACCTCCGTGCCTCTATATATAAAGCTTGCCATCGGTTTCAGATCATTTGGGTGTTGTAAGTGGTCCGAGTCACTCAATTGACACAAAACTTTATTTTTTTCTCTTGAGGGTCCCATGTTGATTGATTTACATCTGTCTTCCATTGTACACCAATTTCTGCAGTGACTGTATATATGCATTCCGACTGGCATTAAAATGTTTTTAAAGACATGGCCCACCAATGCATAACCTTCTCTTAGTTTCAGAAACTTGAGTCTCCGACAGCTATCTGTATGTTAGACAGGAGTAGAGAAAGTTTAATTGGTTCATGGATCGGCACATGCGAGTTGGCGAAAAAAGAAATATTGAAAATAAGTGAATACGACTGAATGAAATTAAATAATCGTGGATTGGAGAAATTCCATGGATATCAACTGGATCAGCTTAGAATTCCAATTCGGATTCTCTACTATCTGCCCAAAAAGTCGTTCTTGTACTGGATCGTCAATCTTTGGTTTGGCATGAGTCGGCATATCGGAATTTTTCCACTTAGTTTCTCAGTTACCGACATTTAAAGCCAGTTGTAAATCCCCAACAGACATGTTAATGTCTGTTGAGGGGTTTAAAAAAAAACCCCTCAATTAAGTTTGTAACCTTTCAACAATATTTTTGTCTGAAATATCGGCACAGAAAAAGAAACGAAAAAATTGTCGACGGTTTCGCCATTTAGAATTTACATGTTTTTAATGGAAACAATTCCAAAAGTGCTTGTGCTTCTTGATTTTAGTTTTTATACAATTTCGAACAAAAATGCATTAATGTGAGTGGAACGAGATCATTCAAAAGCCGGCAATCTCCGGGGTCTGTGTGCGTCCGAGGCAGCAACATCTCATCTTACTATATAATGTTGCAAAGATGAAAAAAATGAACGTTTAATCGTTTGCCTTACGAAGACAATATTTTAAACAGTCCTCGCATGAAGATAGATCTTGGAAACTCTACGCTAGCCATAAATATATTCTATCATTTGCTACTGAAGACAGAAAAGAACTCTACTGACTTTCTTTATTTCACCGCCGTGCCCTTTCATCATTTCACTGACTTGAACTAAGTTCCATGTAAGAAGCTTGAAAACTCAAAATCAAACAAGATTAATTTTCAATCCCCTGATATTAGCCATACTTTCTAGCTCGTACACATAATACTCGAGTCAAAGAAGGTAAGCATAATTTAGATTGATAAATTATTGAAAGTTTTTTTTTTTTTTTTTTTTTGTAACAATTTCTATACTGTTATGGATCATTTAAGATCTCTCACATTTAGGAAAGTTGATCGAAACAGCACTTTAGCTACCCGTAGTAATAATCCATTGATCAAAACCCCTTTATTTTACTTAATGGCCATAAAAGAAACAACGATTAAATATCCGACCTCCATTCCTTGTTTCCCTAAACCAACTTTCTTAAAAAAGAAAAAAAAAAAAAGAAAAAACTGCTTTGCTCTTTTCGCTCCTTTTATTGATAAAGTTCTTGCTTAGATTACTTACATGAGGTAAATGTGCTTCAACAGATGCAAAGAAAAAATGACAAAACTGTTTTTCCTTGACCCTTAACTCTCTTGATGGCTCGTTGGACATTTTTTAAATTATATTAATGTTAAAGACGGCAGAAACATTTGAATCTTTAATCCATTGTTTAGGAATTAAAGCATACGTAGGTGTCTTCTTTAAACTCATCCAAAAGCATAAATGGTCGATGTGTTTTATCCCTTGAGATGATTCTTAAAAATTCAAAGTAATACTAAACTGCTTTTTTTCTCCTTCTGTGAAAATACAATAGCTAAGTAGAAAAAATTCTTTTAATTGCAGTTGCACGAAATAAAGGAGTAAAGCTCCTGTTGCCTAAAGAAATGTTGATATCTAAAGCTCCTCGACGGTTTTTGGTAACATTCAGTTTGATTGAGTTCTATTGCTCTTAATAACAACCCTTCTTTCGACAACTTTTGTTTCCTTTTCCTTTTCATCTATGGGTTTTTATTTCAGTTCTTGGCTTCCTTACGGGATCTGGTGAATATTTTTCCATGGAGATCTGTTTGTCTTTTTTATAAGAATACACGATGGAATGAATGTAGAATCTTCAAAATCATCCATGATGACTGCATTTCGGGAACTTTGAAAGGCTACAACCTTCACAGAAAACATCAAGCTTTTAAAGCACAATTTTGTGAGATTCCAACAAAGATTTCATTTTAGAGCCTCGAAAATAGTTTATTCATATTCCTTCTCATTGCATCGAAAATTACCTTTCAAACATTCCCTCCTAAACGTTTTGCTCGCTGCAAACTGAGTTATTGTTATGGAAATTATTTTCTTTATCTCTTAAGAATCCCTCACGACCCCGGCGAACTTAACGGGAGGTCTTTATTTTACTCCCATTCAATCGTTAATAATATACTACCACAGGGCATAATACTGTCAATGCTACTTCGTTCAATCAAGCTGCTTCTCCTAATATAAATTCACAAATAAAGCTATTTTGGCCACTTTAATGCTCTGCAGCCAGTTTTGGTCCAAAAATATAGAAAAACCAGTTCTCACAATAGATGCAACTTTGCTTCATCTTTAGTCAGAAATTTATTTTGGATTAAACCTCTGGCTCGTTTTCAAAAGATTCCCTTGTTTCTTCTTTGAAATATGAATGGGAATATTGAGGAAAAACTCTCCAATTTTGATACCTGATCATGAAGACCGACTTTCAGTCAAAACTCGTAAAACCAATGTAGTTAAAATATACGATATATGCACGCATCACGTACACTAACACTATGAATTATGCTCAGGAAATTCCTGAGAAATAAGGAACTTTTGCTTCAAATAGTATTCTACGACACTTAAGTTCTGTTATTATCTTTTTCAGAAGCTAGACAGAGCAGAGTGTCTCATTTATTTTGATGAATTATTAATCGGTGTTTCTCCACAAGCTCGATCTTTTAAGGGAAAAACTTTCAAAACATGTTCTCTTCTCCAAAAAAAAAAGATGGATCGATTTATTTCATAAATTTCCTTGAATTTGGTCCCCATAATTTTACATAAAATGTTGACGTTATATTTTTGTTCCAAGCCCTATTGGTGAACTGAAATAGGATATTCAAAATGTTGAATAACCTTTCCCAATTGGCTTCACATATTCACATATTGTGTTGATGACTAAGGAGGCTAAGTTGTCTTTTCAGAATTGCTTAGTGAATTTGGGATCATTTTTTCTTAAGAAGTTATTTGAAAGCTGAAAGTCTTCAAACCTTCTACACATGCATTTATAAGAAATCATAACACAAGGATCACTTCGAGTCAGATTGATTTTGCCAGCGCCCAATTTAACTCTTGGATGAGTTGGAGAAGGACACTGTAAGGGCAAACTAGCTTTCTCAAAAACACACCACAATAGCTCATAGGCCGGAACTCGGGTCCAGAGCTTTTGATCGAAACTCGAACGCAATGACCAAAGTGCCACCGCATCTCCCGCCAAACGAAACCAAAGAAACAACCAAGAAAGGTTAAAAATATTCTCGGAGGGCCGTGGCTTTTTCAAGGGCACGATGCTTATCAGGTCTGATGAAAGCTTTTCAGAAGCTAAGTTCACAAAGGTTTTTTATTACCCTTTATATTTAAGATTTTCAAAACTGTCGTTCCATGTTCCCTAATGCGACATCTAATTTAAGGTAAAGATTGTTTAGAATTTTTTCATTTTTCAGTCTCACATATCGGAGGAAATGGTTCTAGGGCGCACAAATATGTCTGGAACTCTATACAAGTACATGATTAAAATCCAAAAACCGAAAAAAACAGGAATTTACAAAGATTAAAAAAGAAGAATGGCCATTTCGTGCTGTTTATGACCTTATATAGTAATAGTAATAGTAATCAAAGTTTAATGTCTTTACGTGGGGCATGGTTACCCATATTGCCCAAGCCAGAGGCTCATGTATGAAATGCAAGACAACAACCCATCCATTCCACCCCAGGGGAGGAGATCCATCACACAGTAATCTCGTGCGTGGGAAACTAACGTCTCCTACCCCTAACCCTGCAGGAGACGGGACCTCCATTTATTAGTCCCTATCCGTGAAGACTAGAATATCTAGACCATTTCTTGATGTTATAGAAAGGCAGCATATTCTTCTCAACTATTTTAAGACCTTGAGTGTTGGTCCGGCCGGGGCTCGAACCCTCGACCTCCCGCACGTCAGTCCAGTGCTCTATCCATTGAGCTAACAGGAAGGTTGCCATAGTAACCTTTCAAGACTAAATTTCAACTAAGAAGAAATGTGTTAGGAGGAAACGAAAGGTTTTCCCCTGTTCATGATATCTTACTTCAAAATTTAACAAAATCCGCGCTTCTAGAGATAATAAGGAGAATAGGAGGAAAAAACAACGAAATAGTTCTCGTAGATT